TCAAATACCATGGCATTATGAAAATACCTTTTTAGACCTTCAGAAATTCTGATCTAAATTGTTTAGAGTTTATAACTCAGGAGCTCTAATTTGGGTAAGTCAGTTGGGTTTGATTCTGCCATATATTTTTATAGTTGAGGAGAGTTATTCTTACCTTTCCTGATATTAAATGTCACTTGTTTTTATCAATATAATCATAGAAATAAAGTCTTACCCCAAAGAAGCCCTAAAAGATAAAAAAAAAAAAAAAAGACATTACCCTCAGTCCATTAAATAGGTTTATACTTTATAATAACTTAAAATTAATATGAGGGGCGCCTGGGTGGCTCAGTTGGTTAAGCGTCACACTTCCGCTCAGATCATGATCTCGTGGTTTGTGAGTCTGAGCCCCGCATCCGGCTCTGTGCTGACAGCTCAGAGCCTGGAACCTGCTTTAGATTCTGTGTCTCCCCTCTCTCTGCCCCTCCAGTGCTCATGCTTTGTCTGTGTCTCTCAATAATAAATAAACATTAAAATTAATATGAACTTAAAAAATTAAAAAAAAAAAAAAAAAAAAAGGGGGCGCCTGGGTGGCGCAGTCGGTTAAGCGTCCGACTTCAGCCAGGTCACGATCTCGCGCTCCGTGAGTTCGAGCCCTGCGTCGGGCTCTGGGCTGATGGCTCGGAGCCTGGAGCCTGTTTCCGATTCTGTGTCTCCCTCTCTCTCTGCCCCTCCCCCGTTCATGCTCTGTCTCTCTCTGTCCCAAAAATAAATAAACGTTGAAAAAAAAAATTAAAAAAAAAATTAATATGAACTTACCTCAAGTTCGTTCAGAATAGAAGTGATTAACTGAAAGAAGAAAAATCGATCAATGCTAGTGCTGTTAATGGGTTTATTTTCTAACATATTTGTAACTTAGCACACATATAAGCTAGAAGATTTTCTATATGAAAATTTGTTTTTATTGAAAAATGAGTTCCATTTTATTTAGAGGTTTATTTACATGATATAAGATTTTAAAATGAATGTGCAATATCTAGATTTAAATTCCCTTAATTCACAGAAATATTGTAATCGTATTTACTGTATCTAAAGAATAAAAACTTGAACAGTTAAGAAACTCACCGTGTACATATCCATGCAAGTGCTAGGTTTCTTGAAGTATGAAAATTCCCTATGTGAATGATACTTGACCCAAAATTTTAGGACAACTATAAATACTTGGCTTCAAGAGTTTGTTTACACAAGCGGTGTCACTGGAAAAGTATTGCTTTGTAGCTTCCACGGGTCCTTCTGTCGTAACAGACTGGCAGCTTGCTCAAGGAATTGACCAGTGAAAGAAAGTGAATCCCTTCGTATTTGTAGAGCTGTCCATCCCGGTGTGTATGCAAGAATATGTAAGTCAAACACTGTCCCAATGTTTGCTTAGGCAAGAACAATACCTGAAGTGGTTTTTGTTTCTTAAGGGTGACTCTTCCTGCTTTCTGACTTAACTAGGATTCCTGGGAGAATCCTGGGCTATGAAGGTATGGCAGTTCTAGAAGTTATTCTGTCAGAATTCGTTCCAGGATATAGGTTGTGGCTAAGAGTACTTCTAAAAATTTTCCAAAAAAGAAAGTATAAATAGGTATTAAGTGTCCAGATCTGGTAATGTGAATGAGTATCTGAGGAGTATATTTGCACTGGAAGAGACCTGGGAGGTAAACCGATACCTTTACCCAGGGTCACACAGCTAATTTAATTGTAAAAGAGATTTAAATCAAGAGAGAAATTAGAATCTAAGAGAGGTTTGAATCTAGGCTTTCCAACCACAGGCCAGTGCTCTTTCTGCAGGTTTTGATATAAAGGTGAACTTGCCAATTTTGTAATCGTTAATGATTAATCGTTGAAGGCAGTTTCCTAAAACATTTTTCGTTAGAAATATGCTAGAATTTTTATTGTCTGCCACTTGGAAATGGACTATAACATTGCTTAAACAGAGTGGATTATGGGAAGAGCACTACCACTTGAACTCAAGAGACTTAGGTTCTTACTGATTAGACTCAGAAGCTTGTTTGGTCTCAAGTTTCTGGGACACTTAAATATTCCTCAAGATGGTTGGCTTTAAATAGTCTCAAATCCTGAAAAATTTTATCTCCGTCACACGAATGATTTAGGCCTGAGTTTCTGACATTTTTACAAAATACTGCCATGTCCCTGATTCTAAGATACCAACAATTGTAAAATGTACCATTTTAAGTGATAGTATTTTAAAGAAAAAAGAAATCTTAGAATAAATGTATCTGTTGTGAGATGTGTCTTGATTTCAGAAAATGTTTAAGTATGAAAAGTATGTTTTTAGATACGGAAATGAAATTTTTCAGTGTTATCTTTTGTAACTCCATTCAAGTATTTCTCCTCTGTTTTCATGAACTAATATTCTGAATAACTTACTGTATCAATAAAGGGCCTTATTAAAAAATTGAATTGTGTGCCTTTCATCCAAAAAAAAAAAAGCAGCATTATCTATTGGAACTTAGCTTTGATAATCTTTAATGTATAATGTGTTTATGCTAATGCTTCATTAGTGAAGAAATAATCAAGTCTTTTTCATTTCTCCAAAAGGAATTTATTCTGTAAGTCTAAGTCTTTTGACTCTTCACTTTCACCCTCATCAGTGATGGAAAAGGTTGTTTTGTCAATTTATAGTTTGTATGAATTGAATAATGAATGTAGAACTGTTTGTTTGTAGAATGTAGAAATGAACTGAGATTGTTTTTTGACTCTGAATTTAACAGCTGTGATTTATTTTGTTTCGAAATGAATTAGACTAATAAAGACAGAAATTTTTATGATGAGCTGGCCTATCTTATAAAGGGAGTTGAATGTAATATGTTTATGAACTTTATAGATTAACAGGGCAGATATATTTACCGTTATAAGATCATTAAGTGTCAGGACCTAGAATAAAGGAAATGTAGTTAAATAATCAGGGAGTTGTAATTCAGCATTTTAACTATCTTTTCTATGTTATACATTTTATATTACCTTGATTAATGAACACATGCTTTTTAGAATTCTTAGATTTCTAAAATTATGGCATTAAGATTCATATTCACTAATATAGTACCCATCCTCCCTTCAAACCTATATTTCTGGAAGCATATAGTCCACATTTTCTTTTGTGGTCTCCAAACATAGCAGGGACTTCTCAGAAAGATCATTAAACTTAGGCTCACTGGGTTGGAGCAAAGACTATATTTTAGGATCACTTCCTTATGAAAGAAATACTTTAATAATGTCATTCCCTATCATTGTAATAGTATCATTTAAAAATTTAGTAACAGTATGCTATAATATATACAACATATTTTTTGGTTTGTGACTAAGTCAATCTCGTCATGTAATTGTCCCTCCATTCAGCAAAATCCTGTAAAAAATGAAATCCTTTTATAACACGACCATAACCTTAAATCTAGTTCAAAGGATTCTAGGACAGATTCCATTTCAATAAGAATGTATTTTTCTCTCATTAATGGCAGATGTGAGCATAAGGTTTTAGAGGTAAAATGGGCTTTATAAATAATTCACTGTTTTATACTTTCTTAAAGGAAACTTTAAGTATAATTACCTGATTTGGATAATAAGGAAAAGGAAAAGGAATCGGAATCTACAAAAAAAGAAGGAAAACAAGTGAAGTGTGAATAAAACAATTTTGTTTTACCTTTTTTCCTAATTTACTTACCCTTCCATCCATCCATCCATCCATCCAGTATTTATTGAACAATTATATGCTCTCAACGAGCCCACCACTTGGTGAAGCTTAGATTCTAATGGATTTTAAATCTTTTTTTCTCTCTCAAGAGATATGCTTCTTTTGCTTCATTAGTCAAATCTAAAGCCAAAAGGAATCTGTTTGATGTGTTTGATAATTCTTGCAAATTCACCACCAGTTTGTCTACAGTAGTTGTTTCTTTGCTTGCTTAATACTACTCTGCCATCTGGTGGAAGGAAGAGTTTCCACTTTAAATGCTAGGGATTCTTTACTGCCACACAGATTTACATAAGATGTTAACAGAGACTCTTATATTCTAATTATAAACCAAAACTTCAGAATTTTTCATTAATTTAAAAAAATATTTCTGGATTTCAGCCAAAACAACAACAACAGCAGCAACACCACCACTACCACAAAAGGGAAACAATGCCCCCGCCCCTTGACTAAAACCAAAATGACTAGCAATTAATGATAAATGCAAGTAGTCAGAAATTTAGTGGCTAGGATTCAAGTAGGATACGTGAAAACATTAAAGGGAAAGACTTCCACTGAGGACCTCAACTTTAGTGACAAATTTCCAAAAGCTTACTTAAAGTTGAGAAACAGTTTGAAATTAAATACAAGCAAAAGGAAGGTGCTTATTACATTTAGATATAACACTATGCAAAATCATGTTTATTTTAAAAATAGGTGGTAGACAAGAAGTTAAGCCAGATGCTATTTTAAAATGTGTGTGAATTTTTCACAGCATCATTGCTTAAATACTGTCCAAATTTAACATGTCTCCAATCTGCGTTGCAACCTCATTGTACTGATCATTCTTCTCCCAAACTGCCATGTCCTCAGGTCCCTCAGATACATTTGCTGTTCCCTCTGCCTGCAGTGCGCCCCCCCCCACCCCATGATCTGGCTCAGATAATGTCTCCTCTGTGAATGAAGTCTTTGACCCACAGCCTAAGTCAACTTTGTATTTGCACCTAGAAGTACTTATCAAAATACATTTTTACATTTATGAATCTTTTTCTCATCAGACTGTGAACTTATCTCATAATTTTTGTATTTCTAGCACTCACTATAGACCCTATCATGCAGTAGACACTCAGTAAATATCAATTGAATGCTATCTGTCTGTACAAATGTAAGTATTACATATAAAGTGAAGGAAATTCTATTTGTATATTTAGCACTGTTCTGGGCTTTATTAAAAGATGGCCAAGAATCCAGACATTAGGAGAGATTGGAGAGGATCCAGCAGAAAGAGCAAAATAATTATACTGTTTGACCTGTGGGAGAAAGCTGAAAAAACAAAAACTTTTTAGAAAAAAGGAAGTAGCAAGATGATTTAGAAAAAGAACAGGTATTATAGAAAGAGTTTAGTATATCCTTCATGAAGTGCAACTAGGCTCATCACAGTCAAAGGAAATTCAGTATAAACACCTTTTTGATGGCAAGTATAGAAGGACATTGAAAGAAGTCACCAAAAATTTTGGGGAAAATTTGCTAGCTCCTTGTCACACTCCACCGCAGGCTGTGCGGGGAGAGGGTGTGAATAGCTCGTGCCTGGCAACATGTGAAAGCCCCCAATTTTAAATTTAATAACTATCATCTAACTAATAAGTGGTTTTTTAATTTGTTTGTTTGTTTGCAATTTGAGAGTCCCCAAACCCATGTTTACCAAGGGCAGTTGTGGAGGTGGGGGAAACAGGATCTGAGGAAAAAATGATGGTCCTTGTGGCGGGTAAAAACCCAATCTCTGAAAAAAAGAGACATGATGCCAGTCATTTCAGACAACTGTAAACTTTTAAAATGATGAACATGTCATTTGAAAAAAACAACTAGAAGTTTACCTGTCCACTGGAACTTCCTCCAGATGGTTCAAGCTTGTAAAACAGCACCGGCAACAAGGTAAAGCAACATATGGCAAGACATTATTTATTACAAAGAGATTTGATGAGAATAGGTAACAAGCCACTATTGAGCGTTACGCTGGTCAGTGGTGTACCTTCACTTCTGAAATGAAAAGCAGTTGTGTATCCAATGGGGAAAGGTTGAATTAATTTTGTCCAGTGATTTAGAAGGTGTACTTTTGGCTTTTAAACTTATTTCCAAATGATGTTTTTATTTACATTTCTTAAGAGTAATTACATGTTGCATGCCTCTTTATCTTCGAATCAATAATGATCTCAATTTCATTCTCAGCATTTAGAAGTTGAAAGTGAAGAGCATGTAGAAATGTAAATTTAAATTTGGAATCCCCAAACACAAAGTTTGAAAGCTCCCTCACTTTGAAAGCTCCTTTGTCAAAAAATGTGCAGGAAAGAGGATTTCTTGTCTACTTGGTGCCCTCCGTATTCAGACTGTAATCGACACAGATCACACTCAGAGATCTCATTTGTATAGATGTGGAAGGCACGGCTATAGTCAGCATGAGATGGTTTGGGGTAAAGGCATTATAATGAAACCCAATTTAAACTACATAACTAAGACCCAGGTCACTGTGGAATTTGAGTTCTAGCTTCCTAAATTTATTTGAGAACTTCCTGTTTTCCAGTTAGGACTCTTATGTGCTTTAGAAACATTTTTATTATCTTTGCACTACTCTGAGGTAGTTCTTGACTCATTTTATAGACATGGGTTAGTTCCTTGCTCAAGGTCACGTGGTTTACAGATGCTATGTGGAACTGAGATTTGTGCTGAGAAGACCACTGGGCTGAGGAACAGTGATAAATTCCTGATTCTATAACTTCCTTGGACTCTACCTTTCTCTTTTGTGAAAGGAAAAGATACAGGATATGCCTCCTAGCCCAGAAATACTATCTCTAGAATGGAAATGGAGTGGAAAATGGAGGCGATGTACTCACAGGGATGGGCAGAGCAGCGGCAGTGCTCAAAAGGCCAGCCAAGAGGAGAACTTTCATTCTGAAGGAAGAGTCTGGAATTAAGGGTTAGAAGATTTTTAGTTTTTTCTAAGTCCCATTCCTGTTGTAAATAGGCTGCTTAGTTAGAGGTATTGCAATAGTGGTCAGGCTAATTATGCCTCAATTCAGGTTTTGTAAGCCTAGAACAGAGCTTTAAAAAACTTTGGATGCCTTTAGACAAGATATGCATTCTCTGGCTCATAACATTGCATACACTTCATACACTTCCTTATAATCTCATAGTTCAACATACTTGTTTGGCCCCTGAAGTTATTTGAATTTGCAGTCTCTACCCACCAATCTCCACCACCACTGTTGCATCATGCTTAGTATTGGGGACATATCACCAGTGGCTCAAATGAGATTTTTTTTTATAATATACACATAAATCCACCTTAAGCTTCTACCCCCATGAGACTTACTAGACCTTTGCATAGCCTGGATGCTGTTACTGACAATTATAATTTCTCAAGGAGAAAATGATACGGGAAAAATCTTGTTAAGGCAAATGGGTTGGTAGAGAATAGCACAATATGAGTGGATTCAATAAAACAAGTAAATCAGTGTGGTCTTTACTGGTCAGTAGATTCTGAAAGCAAACATTTTTATGGTCTTAAATCACATTTAATTCAAATTAACTTACCGTATGAATTTCAAACCCAACCACTGTACTCTGGAATTAAATTTTGAAAGAAAAATCAAACCCATCATATTCTCATTAAGATTTGTCCCCAGCATCGGAAACAAGGTATATCTCTTTATAAAAGTCACTAATATAAAAGTCAACTAATTTAGATGTATTTTAAACTCAACTATGACTTACCTTCATGCTATTTTACTTTGCCTGAATTTGGGCAACTTACCTCCCTTTTCCTTCTTTTTCACGTTTCTCCTTTATGTTTTTCTTCCTTTTGGATCCAAACCCTTGAATTTTTTTGTGTGATAAGTGGGCCTATTAGAAATCATTAAATTACCCAACACAAGAATATTTTAACAGTCTTCTATTTAGTGCAATAGAATCAGTCCAAATTATATTGTATGTCTTTGTAATTACCTTTGCTTCAAATGGCCCTCGGAGCAATGAATTCAAGGAACAGTGTGATCTTCTAGAACTGTATACCCATCTAGTATTTAAGCCATATTACTAATACCTTTATGGTCATGGGCAATATGAGTCACAAGGTTTAAAGCTAAACTGAATAACTGGTTGCAGACTAAGAACTCCAACTCCTCAGGTATCTCACACAGAGAGAGGCTTAAAGATTGATTACTGAGAAAATAACTTCATCTCCTCAGTTGGGATCAGAGCAACATCTTTATCACAAATAATCCACAATTAAAATTTGTGGCTACCAAGAATATTACAGTGTTTCTACAATATATCATCTAGGGCAGCTATACACAAGGGAGACTTAATGGACAGAAAAATTAAAGGTTCTAGAACTTTCTATTTTAAATACCATTTATTATTTCAAAATGAACTTACTTTCAAAGAAAACATTTTAAATAAACAGGTAGTGTCTTTAGAATTAAAATCATTTTGGGGCACCTGGATGGGTTAGTCAGTTAAATGTCTAACTTTAGTTCAGGTCATGATCTCACAGTTCCTGAGTTTGAGCCTTGCCATTGGGCTCTGCACTGATAGTGTGGAGCCTGCTTTAGATTCTTCCTCTCCCTCTTTCTCGGCTCTTCCCCTGCTTGTTTGCTCTCAAAAATAAATATTAAAAAAATAATTAAAATCACTTTTCACTACTCTAAAATGTTTAAAAATGGCAATTTAGGTCTAATCACCTCCAAATATAATTTCACCATTCCTGACAAATTCACAAATTTACAATTGTTATTGGTTAAGACCTCGTGACATTTCTTTGCAGCTACACATAAGAACGTTTTGAATTTTGGAATAAGTTCTAAAATTATTTCCCTAGTTGGAAAAATTATAAATACTTATATTTTGATTAATCAAACTGAACTTAATTATTTTGAAATGACATGGTGTGATACGGTCTAAGAACAAGTGACTCAGAGCTAAGAAAAGACATAAATAAAATTTTGAGGTTAATCAGAGAAAATTTTTCTGATAAAAAGCATACTCTTCCATAAGTTCCTTCAGATGAAATTCCTTGAGGTACCTTGTCTCAGTGACTATCAAGGCTCTTAACAACAACAACAGCAACACATTTTTGATTATTTGAAAAAAATAACAAAAGGCAATTGCATTGATATCTTTCATTTCAGATAGGAAAATATGTTAAAAAATTAAAAAAAAAACATAAATAAAATAATAAAAAATAAAAAATAATTTATTTCCTTATAGATATTATAAGTAGGATATAGAAGTTGACAGTTTTTTTTACTGCCTTGTTTCAGACCTTAGGAAAAACTCTATTATGGTATCTTTTATTATTTTTGTAATCTAGCCTGTACTGTATTAATAGTTACCAAAAAAGAGTCCTAATGAAAACACAAAGTTTCTCTTATGACACAATTTCTTGCTATAAAATTGTAGTAGTAATATTTATCTCTGACTACACTGAACATTAAGATACTTCAGAGCTTTCTGTCTGTGTTGTCTTTACCCTTATTTTGAGTATATGAGACACGCAAAAAATTTGCAGGACCTCCACTTCCCCTAACACACATGGACAGCTGCACAAGAGCTAGAACCAGATGTACCAAGCAGTGCATAATCATCCACATTTTAAACTGAATTTGGTAAAGAGCACTTGGATTTATTTTTTTCTGTTTGAAGTTACATTATGACAAAGGACATTAATAAGCATCTACCATTTAATAACTGAATATTTGTTTCCCACAGGAAACATCTCTCCAACCATACTCCTGCCTTTTTTTTTTTTTTTTTTTAAGTAGTAGGGTCTAGGGAAGCACAATTATAATTTGAAGTGTGAGCCTTGAGTTGGTCTTTCACATATAGCTGTTTAAATAAACGACTGGAAATAAACTTGAGTAAGCATTTGGATTTTTATTAGGATATTAAGATACTGAAAGTAATGCACATTAATGACAAAAGAGCATTATTCCACTTTCTTGAAGTGTACATGATATTATGAACAAAACGAATGTAGTATTTTCTTCAAGTTTCATAATTAGGAAGTATCTCACAAACAGATGTAGAGAGTGTTCACAAACAGCATACAGGATTTTGCATATGTAGATTTTATTTTAAAGTTTAATTCCAAAGTTAATGTTAAATGCTTAGTGCATACACTGTCAGCAAGCCATTACTCTTATTGTCATCTCACACATGCAAAAGTTTTGCTAAATATAAATCTACAAGTATCATGGATGCATATATTTTCAGGAGTGGTCAGGACAGAGAAGGATGCTGGAATGTTAGAATTCTTTCAAATCTTAATTCAAAACAGGAGATTTTCATCTATGTCTTCTGTAAAAAACAAAAACAAAACAAAACACATTTTTAGAAAACAGCCAGAGTTGTAATATAAACAAACAATGATAGAACTGGGGGATTAGAGAAACTATCTAATAAGACTTACAGGATAGTTCTCAAACCTGATAGGGCATCAGTGCCACCTGTGAAGCTTTTATTTATTTATTTATTTATTTATTTTATTTTATTTTATTTTATTTATTTTTTTTTTAATTTTTTTTTCAACGTTTTTATTTATTTTTGGGACAGAGAGAGACAGAGCATGAACGGGGGAGGGGCAGAGAGAGAGGGAGACACAGAATCAGAAACAGGCTCCAGGCTCCGAGCCATCAGCCCAGAGCCTGACGCGGGGCTCGAACTCACGGACGGCAAGATCGTGACCTGGCTGAAGCCGGAGCTTAACCGACTGCGCCACCCAGGCGCCCCTATTTATTTATTTTAAAGTTTACTTATTTATTTTGAGAGAGAGGGAGAAAGGGAGGGAGGGAGGGAGGGAGGGACATAGGGAGGGGCAGAGAGAGAGGGAAAGAGAGAGAGAATCCCAAGCAGGTTTTGCACTGTCAGCACGGAGCCCAACATGGGGCTAGAACCCATGAACTGCGAGATCAGGACCTGAGCCGAAACCAAGAGTCAGACGCTTAACCAAATGAGCCACCCAGGCACCCCATCTGTGAAACTTTTAAAAAGATACCATATGGCTTCACTTATATGTGGAATCTAAAAAACAAAAAGAACAAACAAAAAGCAGAAACTGATGGCTGCCAGAGGGGAGGGCATGGGGAGATGGGCAAAATGGGTGCAGTGGGAGGTACAGGCCTCCAGTTATGGAATAAGACACAAGCATAAAAGGCAGAGCGTAGAGAATATAGTCAGTGGTATTATAATAGCGTTTTATGGTGACAGACAGTAGCTATACTTGTGGTGATTACAACATAACGTATAGACTTGTTGAATCACTATACTGTACACCTAAAATTAATGTAACATTGTGGGTCAACTATACTTCAAGTAAAAAAAGATATGCTCTCAGGCCTTACCCCTGGCCTCCTGAATCAGAATCTCCAGGGGTGGGCCAATGGCATGTATACATCTAGAAACTCCACTGGTAGTTCTAAATGTAGGGTTGAGAAGCACCAATAGAGACCTAGCCAAGAATTGCCAAGTATACTAACCTATAAAGGTTGCTAAGATATAACAGAAATAAATAGAAGTATAGGGTCAGTTAAATCAAATTTCCAACCAAGTAATTGTAAAAGAACTTGTTGCCACACCTTTGGACGAGAGAACATCCTTTAGGGGATATAAGATCACTCTTACCGGTATGGCCCACCCTCACTCAAGCATTGTTGAACAAATAGTTAAACAGATTAACTTGAAGCATACGAATGACTACACTGTCTGAGACACCAGGTAATTTTCCTGCTCAGTGTAAGTCTTACACAAGAGTAGGAAAGATTATGAACTTTGGTATATTTCCTTTGAACACTGGCTTCATTTGTAAAATGAATATTTTAGTCTCATTATTTATAAATTTACTTACTGTTGTGGTCACACTTTTTGCCTTCTTTTCATTGTTTGGATAAGAGATGTCCTTCCTTAACTTTAGGCTAATCCTCTGCCTATGCCCAGGATCTCTTCTGGCCTCAGAAATTCTCCCCCTAATTTTACTCTTTTGTTTTTCTTTCTTCTTTTTTAATTAAACAAATTTTAAAAATTAGGCTCTGCAACATAGGGCTTGAACTCACAACTCTGAGATAAAGAGTGGCGTGCTCTACTAAGCCAATCAGACAGCCGTGTTTTTCTCATATCCTCAATCTTTCCTTTTTTACTGGACCCTTCCCATGAACATGCAAATATGCTGCATAGCCAGCCTTGAGTGCATGGCACTATGGGGACCATCAGTAAACACTTGTTGAATGAATGAATGAATGAATGAATGAATGAGTGTTCAAGCTTATTTTATTCCCAGAAATGCTTCCCTCAACTTTAAACCCCTTTTTAGTTCTTTCCTGTCTTCAAGCAGCCACTCTTTACCCTTTCTCATCTATTGTTTCTCAACCTATGGAATCTGGCCTCCATCTCTACTGTTCCATCAAAGTTGCTCTTACTAAGGCCACCCAGGATGCCCTTATTTCTATGTAAAAGGAGTGTTCTTAGTTTTTTATCTTACTTGACGTCTCAGCAGTATTTGGCACTGTGATCTCTTCTTCCTCTTCAAATACCTCCTTTGAAATGGCACAATCCTGTTTTCTTCCTTCCTTTCAGGAGACTTCTCATTCTCCTTCATGAACTCCTTCTTTCTCCTCTACCCATTATTCTTGGTTCCTTGGTGTTCAACCCTAGACCTTTTCCCACGTGGCTCAACACATTTTTGTGGGGGAATTAATTCCCTTCCATAGCGTTAATTACTTTCCGTATGCTTGTAATCCTCAACTATGTACTTACATTCCAAAATGTTGCCTTGAAAAGCTGACCCATGTATTCATGTATCTACTGTTCATTGTCTCCCAAGTACTTAAAAGTTCACATCATAAATGGAAGTTATCATCTTCCCAAAGTCGGCTTCTGTGCTTGTGTTTTCTGTCTCTGTTCCTCTGTCTCTTTGCCTGGCCTGAGCGCGGAACCTGGGTGTCATATTTCCCTTTGTCTCTATCTCTCAACTGTCTGTTCCCTGCCCCCACATATTTCCTAGCAAATACTTATTATTTCTATATTATATACACCTTGAATATGCTTACGTTCTTGAATATATCATGTTTATATTTTTAAATATTATCTTGAGTGTGTTTCTTTTTCTTTTTCCCCACTGTAACTGCTCTAGTTCAAGTTCTAATCAACTATGCCTGGATTTACCACAGGCAAATCAGCCAGTTCTCTGGCTTCTCCACCATGTAACCAAAAGAATCTTTCTTAAGTACAAATCCAGTGAAACCACTCCCTTGTTTAAAACACTTTGGTGATCCTCCAGTACTTTTAGGATAATGTCTTTAACTGGCTCAGTAGGACCTGCATGATCTGACTCGTTTGCCTATGAGTCTCAGTTGGAGGGTTTTTCTCAAGATTAATGTGGAATGGTATGTCATGAACACCAAATAAATATTACTCCTCTACCTTTCAATTAAACCCCACTTTTACACAGAAGGAGAATGAGACTTGCTGAGGTTAAGTGGTATGCCCTAACCCACATAGCTAACTCATGACAGAGCTGGATATTCGAGCACACCTAGCCCAGATAAAAGGCAGTTAAAATTCAGAATGGCCGTGGCTAAAATTTATCTTGTCCTTTCATGGATTTCCCAGCCATGAGGGAAGGAAGGGCACGCTTACAAATAGAGATTTTGTTGTGTTTTGTTTTCCCTAGCTACAGCCCAAAGCAGTAACTTGTTTGGTTGTTCTGACTGAATATTAAATATCTGCTTTCTTGGTTTACTATGTGATAATTCTTTCCCTCCTTCAAAATAATGTAATCATGGCCAAACCACAGTGAACAAACAAGACCATTAAGAGCTTTTGGAGTCGCTGAACTTCAAGCCCTTCCTGCTCCTCCCAGACAACCACCCAGCACAGAGCCTGAGTGAGCCTACATGCTGAAGAGCTGCCAGAAGTTTCAGAGGAACAGTGAAGCACAACTGGTTTCCTTAAATAAATGGAATCTGTTCAAACTCAATCACTCTGTTAAAATCAAGTGCCATATAAAAGGGCACACACTGGGGCGCCTGGGTGGCTCAGTCGGTTAAGCGTCTGACTTGGGCTCAGGTCATGATCTCACGGTTTGTGAGTTCGAGACCCGCATCGGGCTCTGTGCTGACAGCTCAGGGCCTGAAGCCTGCTTCGGATTCTGTGTCTCCCTCTCTCTCTACCCCTTGCCTGCTCACACTCTGTCTCTGTCTCTCTCTCTCAAAAATAAACATTAAAAAAAATTTATAAAGGGCACAATATATCCTGTCCCAGCTACGTTTCCCCCTTTTGATAATGGTGGGGTGGAGGGAGTGGGGTAGCTGTACTTGGGTACACTTTGTCTTTTTAACATGGGAATTAGGAAAGTAGTTTTAGCCATTTTGGGGAATATATTTGAATTTATAAGTACTGTACTTATAGAATAGATGTTAGAAGGGAAATTGGTATTATTTATATGGGTTGGGGTCTTAACAGCTTATTCATTTCCTATTAATGCTAATAGGGTATAAACAATATGTCACAGCTTCTAAGACCTCTTCTCACATTATAGCAGGAGTTGGTCTGTGTGACCAAATGAATATGGCAGAAGTATGTCACTTCTGAGATTAGGTTACAAAAGACATTATAACTTAAGTCTTGGGTTCTCTCTCTCTTTTCTCTCACAGATGCCAAGCTGTGAGCAGTCCTATGGAGAGGACCACATGGTGAGGAAATGGAATCTTCCAACAGTAGCCATGTGGGCGAGTTCAGAGGAGATCCTAAGATAGAACTGTCCAGAAAAACAACTCCTAGATTCCTGATCCTTGGAAACTGTGAACTTGTAAGCTTCTAAGCTTTAGGGTAATTTGTTATGCAGTGATAGGCGACCAATATACAGCACTTGGTGCTTACAAAAATATACATTCTTTGCTCCTTACAGTTGTGCTTATTTCACAGAATAATATTGTAGAGGCAAAGAGCTAACCCTTTCTGCTTACCTATTTATCAGTAAGTACTCAATACTCTCAGCTCTTTCTTTATAATTTCAAGGCATTCTACATATCATGAAGAATATATATATATACACACACATATAATATATATAAGAATATATATTACATATATAAGAATATATATAATAAATATATTAATTTTTAAATGTTTATTTAATTTTGAAAGAGAGACAGAGTGTGAGTGGGGTAGGGGCAGAGAGAGGGGGACACAGAATCCAAAGCAGGTTCCAGGCTCTGAGCTGTCAGCAGAATCAGACGCAGGGTTCAAACCCATGAACCATGAGATCATGACCTGAGCTAAAGTCAGACGCTTAACTCACTGAGACACCCAGATGCCCCATGAAGAATATTTTTAAAGTGAATGTCATACAAGTTGCCTCCTTTTAAGACATTCTGACCTTTGATGAACTTACTTTTCATGATTGGTTGGCTGCACATTCATCCTACTTGTATGTTGTGAACATAACATATAAAACCTCTGCTTTAGAGGTTGTTTACTGTTGATTTACATTGTGCAAGCAGTTTTGAGTGCTCATTTTTTGAGAATCTTTCAAATCTTGATTATTAAAAACATGCTTGCTAATAAAAATCAGCTTTAACTTAGGAAAACAAAAGGAAGTATGTTAAGACATAGACTGGCAAAACAAATATCTAAATTTAAGTTCCTCCATCACAGGGAGAAAGAACCCTCTGATTATTATTATTTTTGCCACTGAAGATGCAGTAATAGATTGAAAGCATAATATCTGGACACAACTTGTGATATGAGGCCCTATCTTTAGTGAGTTGGTAACGAATTCTAAGATTTTTCTGACATCTCCCACTGGCAGAATCAGACTTATTGTTTTACTCTTCACATATGACTTTTTAAAGTTTGGACCAATAGTCAGGTTAAGAAATGACATAAAATCCCTCCTTCTTCAGAAGGGTAGCACAGCTCTCTGGATTGACATCATTTTCTCAGGCTTAGCCAACTGTTAAGAACTCAATGTTGTGATCCCCTAAGTATTCCCACTTTTACTCTCTGAAAAAAAGAGTATCATCAAGGGAAGTATGAAGTAACCTTGCAATGACAGCATGTGCCCTGAGGAAGTCCTACCTGGGATGCTGCCACCTTGCTGTCCCTAGGTGTCAATCTGAGCACTTAGCAGGACCTCTCCAGGAGGGCTGCAGGCCTTGGTGCTCTCCTGGAGAAGAGGATACCCCTTTCCCTGACTGATGATGAGTTTACCTTCTTTAATTCCAAAGCAGTGGCCCCACTCCTTCAGGGTGATGTGCTTATCTTTGTTGGGATCACACTCCTCAAAGAAGCGAGTTATGCAGTGTTCCATGGGCACCAGAGATGCTCGCAAAGGAGCAAGCTCAGAATGTGTTAAGACTCTGCAATGAAATAAACGGTGGTGTATTAATGGCCAGCTTGTATATGAAAGTTAACTCTTAGGATAACTAAGGCATTTTTCTTCCACAAGATTGCTAGGAATGCCAAATAAATAGTACACTCATGAAAAGGTGCAAAATTATGGGTAAGATACACAGCACTTGAGATGTCACAAAGTTTCTTTCCTCACTGGGAAGTACTCTCCTGCCAACTTAAATTTATAGGGATGTGCCTCACCCCCCACCAACAATCATGTTTGTACAGCCTGACTCTTACCCACTGACCATTACCCAATTGTACATATCCAGGTGTAAGCACTTGACCTAAGCTGGGCCAATCAGAACATCTTGGGAATTCAGGATTAAGAATGAGAAGGAATTTAAGGAGTCTCTGCTACAGGCTGGGTCCTAATATCTAAACTTGGGAAACATGGTGTGGCCATATTGTGCTATCTTCAAAGCAGTTTTGTGTTTAGACACCTAACTACATTTGTTTGGCATGTCAGTGTTCTAAAACAGAGGTGGAAACTTCCTAGATTTGTTTAGAAGTATCTTTGTATAGATAATTAGACATTCTATCAGGGAGATGACCTAGTAATGTGAAGGTTAAGAGTTTTTACCTGTCCATAGGATGTTGGTCAAGTTCACCAAACTGCCAGTGCACAGGATACACATACATGTGGTAGTTTTTCTTAAAGTCCCGTAAGAGAAGGTCAATGGAATGGTCCCCAGCCAACAGCCTCTTTTCATCCAGGTAAATCTTCTTGACCTGGGATTAGGAAGGGAGAAGATCATCAGAGAATCAGACAAATGTAATGTAATTATCACTGGTAAACTTTACTTGAAGAGTAACAGTGACATGACAGAGGAAAACAAGCCCAGGCCATCATGAGACCGAATGAAATCCTTTCTAGTCAACACTATACAGACTTTCTTATTTCTACATAGAATAACAGCCAACTAAAAAATACAACCTGTGGTTTTTAGAAGATATTTAAGTATTTTTGATCTTTCTTTTAACCGAGTACTGTTCATCACATTCCTTAAAATTATGAGAAGGTTTTAATGAAAAGGCCTGAAATGACCTAGGCAAAATTGTTGGTTAGTGAAAAGTCCCAATCACCACATTGGCATACTCTTAATTCTCTAAGTATTTCTGTCCAGTGTCTGATCAGAATCAGCTGTGGTGTGACACCATTTGGTCAGCCCCATTAAAATTTCCCTGTTTTGCATCTAACGCTCTCAAGACTTTCACTATGATGTATTAAAAAGAGAGGATAGAAATTATTTCTGGGCAATGCATATAAAACTCTCAGCTTATGATGTTACTCATGAACTAACTGGAAGCATTTAGAACAGAACTACCCATCTCCATGGTCACATCCACCAACTTCTCTCCTTGTTATCATGGATGAACTTCCTGTGCTCTGAATATAAGCCCAACCCTTCACTGGTGCTCAGAAGCCTACCCCTTTCCATCTCCTCAAAACCACCCTATGGCAGTTGGGTACCTCTTCTATTCCTTATTAGTTTTTACCATCTTTACTGGGGTCCTACCAGAAGCACACAAACATCCTCTACTATCTCCCACTGGTAGATGGGATTCTTGAACTCACATTCCTGTCTGGCTGCCACCCATTTCACTTTTCCTCTTTCTAGCAAAATGCCTTGAATATATTGTCTATACTTGGTGCTTCCACATCCTTCCTCCTATTCTCTTTTGAACCCTGTCACTCAAGCTTTTCTTCTCTCCAATCTGCAGAAACAGCTTCTGTCAAGGTTAACTCTGTGACCACCACATGCCAAATCAGTGCTCAACTCATTCCTCATTTTACAACCTGTAAGCAGCATTTGACATAGTTAATGCACACCTTCCTTCTTGTTTAATTTTTTCTTCATAGCATGTTTCATTCCACCTGACATACCTTATATATTTGCATATTTATTTACATGTTTATATATTTGCATGTATGCTCATATTTGCAATATGTCTATAAACACACATGTGCGTGAACACACACACACTTGTTCAGAGTCTCTTTTCCTAGGATGTTAGCTCATGAAGGCAGAGATTTTCCTTTACTTCATTGCTGTATCCCCATCATGTAAATCAATTCCAGATACACAGGATGCACTCAATAGCTATTTGATGAGTGCATTTTCCCTGAGAACTTCTGGAATGAATATTCTGCACTTTTAAATCTTAATATATTACTGACATTGCAAATAAGGGATTTCTCTTATATCATAAATCTGTCTGGTCTATGAGGGCAAAAAGATGTATTAAAAATCTTTTAAATTTATTTAAATTTATTATTAGATTTAAATAATATGTTTGGGCCTGAATATATAAGTGCTGAATGGAGGTTCCCTTTGCTCAACCAGGATTTGCTCTGGGGTATGAGGTGAAGAGTCCTTGCTCAGGCCACTGCCCTTTGGACAGGAATGGGGTGGTTTGGCCATGTCTCAAACCTTGTGGCATGAATGGTGACCACTACTGTTCTGTTACTGCATGTGAACTTAGCAGGTGTGGCGAACCAAGTGGGCTCTTGCTGATATGCAGGGGGAGGTAGGCCCCCTCCTCCCCTCAACACACATACCCTTTTTCCTTAGGCTCTGTACATAGACACTTGGGTAGTTGACCTGTGGATAACTTACTTTATTTCTCTGCTTCTCATTTAGATATCCACCGTGTTCAGGGTTTGGCTCATAAAGCTGCATGAGAATATTCTTGAGCCAGTCTCTCATCCTTAGGGGAAACTGAGTCACTTCAAAGTCTGTACAAATAGGAATAGCTGTTCCAAGCAGAAAGAAAATAGATTTTAATCTTTGGATCTTACTCCTATCTTATGGCACGTCCTCATAACAGAAAGCTTAATAACATCTGGTGACTGACAGTACGCTCACTGTCCCACTGTCACAGCAGTGGGTCCTTACACCTGGCGGCAAAACAGAACTGCCTGTGGTGTTTTCAAAACATACCAGATTCCAGCTTCCATTCAAAGACATTCTGATTTGATTGGTCTGGGGTAGAATGTGGGCATCAGGATGATTTAAAAGTTCCAAAAATAATTTATTATTATTATTTTTTCTTTAAAAAAATTTTTTTTAACGTTTATTTATTTTTGAGAGAGAGAGACAGAGCATGAACAGGGGAGGGGCAGAGAGAGAGGGAGACACAGAATCTGAAACAGGCTCCAGGCTCTGAGCAGTCAGCACAGAGCCCGACGCGGGGCTCGAACTCACGGACCGTGAGATCATGACCTGAGCCAAGGTCGGACGCTTAACCGACCAAACCACCCAGGCGCCCCCCAAAAAATAATTTTGATATGCAGGTTTATTTGATATGCAGGTTTATTTATTTGATATGCAGGTTTATTTTGATATGCAGGTTATTATTTGATATGCAGATTTATAGGTGGAGGGTAGAGGCTGCAAGAACTATTTATCA